CTTACAGTTTTTGTTTCATGACCATGTATTCTTAAAATTATAACTTTAGATCCAAGAACTTTTGGAATGAGTTGTGTGAAGAAAACTTGTATATTTCATGTAGATCTACAACTTTCATGTTGTAAGTTTCTTTTGAATCATCTTGCATCATGGTGAAAATTTTGCCCAAAAGTTGTGAAAAAATAAGAAATTTCCAACTCTTAGAAAAATTTTGCCCTAATTTGGTCAGGATTTTGCCCCAAAATTTTGCCCTCAAGATTACTGTAAATTGGCCATAGTTGACTTTTTCCCTAATACAGTTGATTTTTAGGTCAACTGCTCAATTGACTGAGCAAAAGTGTGATCCAAAGCTTGAAACTTGACATGAGTAATCTTGAGGGTCCATAACGATCCATGAAAGTCATATGGGGCATTGGAAGTTCAAATATCCATTTGCAATCTCAAACCATATTTTTGGTCATCAGTGCTTAAGGAGGTGTCTTGAGCTGATCAACCTTAATGTAGTCTTGAGTCAAAGGATATTTTATGGGCAAATTCTTGATAAGTGAGAGGGCAAATTTTGAGGTACAACAAACACCAATGTGAATGTGATTTTAGGTGCTTCCAGATATGCATCTTCGAACGGTAGGACAATTGTGTCTTTTCACAGTGGTGGGGAGCACCAATAAGGGTGGAAAGAGAAACCCGCATAATAAAAGATTGATAATCTTGCGGAGGAAGGAAGAGCTTAAAGTCTCGACCCTATGATTCATTCAAGCCTCCTCGTCTCTCACACTGCAACTCACACAAAGCGGTTATAACCACCACTCTTTATAAGCAACGAGCGTGCCATTTCTCAGGTATTTCAAATTCAAATTCTATTTTCTCTCATTTCCTCACTTACTGGCTTGATTGATGGCGTGCTAACATTATAGATCAATCCCTTCACCACAACATTCGAGCACACGTTTCAACAACTACATCCTCTGATCAACTACTTCTGATTCCACATTAGAACAATAGAGTTTTGTTCTAGTGCATGAGCACCATCTCAATCCACCTCAACCTCATCTTAAAATACCATATCTTAAAATCTAATGATCACGTTCATTTTTACAATCCATGGAACATAATTTTCCCTATTAATATTTAGAAGGTTAAGAAATACACCATGTTTGAATTCGATGATGCCAACTTATCTAGTTTACTTGACACTCATGTACCTCACTCTATATGCCAATTTGGCAAAACAAATATTTAAGATTAAAGAAAAAAAGAGAATGAAAAAGTTTAATTGTTAACTGATCAAAGTGATATGATTTTTTTATTCTAGCATCTTTAAGGATATACAAACAATTGACTTTAACTAACTATTAAAACACTAACAAATTATGTTAGCAATGTAATCATGATTGAGAATTTCTCTTTACACCTAGTATAGGTGAAAATCACCTATGAAAACCCGAAAATACCCTTCGGTTATGCACATCCGAATGTAACTATCAGAATGTTTCAGATGTGCATCTCTGAAGACACCATTTTCCATGTTTTTTTTACATAAACGTTAGATTTTTAGTAGTTTCAGATATGCACATCCAAAACATGCTTATAGGTGACTTCAGATGTGCATATCTGAAACTTCCTCTGTTTGTGTCATTTTTGTTTACAACAACATCATTACCCCTACCGTACAAATGGATAAATTTTTAAGGATTTTTTCGAAAATATGAAACGGACATAACAATACGGACTTAACGATTATATTAGATGTTCAAACATATGGAAACATAATTTAGTACATAAGTTATTCAGAAAGTGCATTATGCAAAAATATTACATCGGTAACAAAAAACAAAACATAACATATACTATTGTGTATGCCTAATCCTCACCCCCTGTGACCTCCTCTGCCTATTGTACCGCGTTGCACTGGATACCTCTGTAACCATCCTCCCAACAATGGCAACCGCCTCAAGACCACCCTCTCGATGATACCCGAATCTAATGCCTCTTGTCCAAGTAGGTGTATTTGCTGGCAGACCGACAAGAGATCAATGTCATGGTCATCCTCGACTTGCTGGTCCTCCAAGAGCTCCTTATGAGCTAGCCTAGGTGGACGTCTAGGACCATCCAGTTTCACGATAGGGTGTGACACGTTAAAGAACCATGTCACGTAACCCTCTACACAATGCAAACTCTAGGATGCTGGCATCATCCGATACTCCTGTGACACCAAATGATTCTCCCAATCCTGGAAGATGCTATCGAGTTCCCGTCGGACAATGGTGTTGGGAGCAGCCCGAAAAGGAGATCTCGATATCTTTGTACATAGCCAAACTGTCGGATACACCACTCTGGAAGTTACCTGACCATAAGATTTGACCTGCATGCTAGCCACCCAGAGTATAATAAGATGGGATCGAATGAGACAACACCCATGTAATCATCAAATGGCGTCTATTTGATATCATCATGATTAGTACGATCAAGATACACCCAGTAAGGCAACACTTTATAATTCCCTCTATGGAGGAGATACTTTGTCGCCATTGGCATGTCGGTAGTATAAACCGGATCTGATTCAAAACCATGAACCCGATGGAAGTGAGAGATGATCCAGCTCTGAAACAGAAATCATAGAATATGTAAGTATAAATTATAAAAAAAAAAAGTTAAATGTAACAACTGAAATGAAAGGTACCATGAGGAGCGTGTAAGAACCAGTGAGCTGTCTCACCCTCCACCTTGAAGCTTCATTCAGCTTCTGGTATAGGTATACCAAAACGACGCCCCCAATTCCACTCACGAACTTTACTCAAATCCATAAAATACTAGAGGTATGTCAGATCTATATAATAGGCGCTTTTGTCCATAACGAGGGACGTGCCAACCAAAAATATAAGGTAACACCGTACAACACGATCTCGGTGGTACTGGACAAAAACCTCGTCACCCTCATCCTCGGCCCTTGCTGCTGCAACCAGATGCTCTTCATATAGTTCTTTCAGGTAGGAGAACTTTGTATGCGACCCATTAGTTGTTCTGCAGTCTTCAACTGCCCTATATGGATCAGCACCCAAATACTCAATCATCTATTCAACCGCTTCAACTCGTGGTACCTTGTGATGGTTAAGTGACCTCCCTCTAATAGGTAGGTGGAGCAAGCAAGCAACATCATCAAGTGTGGCCGTCATCTCCCCAACAGGAAAGTGGAAAGATAACATATCTTTGTGCCACCTCTCAGCAAATGCACCCTGCATGTCGTGGCTTATAGTATTATAACCAATACAACATAGTCCGGCAAGTCCAGATCCAACAACGGCCTCATGGAACCAAGCAACCTCAGGTATAAACAATTCAAATATTTTTTGCAAGTGATTCACAGAATTAATTGGCAATCGTTCCTGAAATTAAAAAAAAATCGTTAATTATAAAATTTTGACTAAACCTATATAATGAAAAAGTGCAACAAAAAAAAACCTCATCATCTCAAACATTACGAGCGACATGATCATGATAATAGATCAAGAGGGAGGTGTCATAAGGCTCTTTTGGATAGTCGATGTTTGCCTCCTTGGGTACCTCAACATGCTCGGGTACCTCATCCCCCTCGGGTACCGTAACATGCTCGGGAACCTCCCCCTTATCGGGTACCTGCTCATGCGCACGAGAGGTAGACGCCTGAGACGGACGACTCCTCAATGCAGAAGAAGAACCTCCAGGCAATCCCCCCCTTCGTACCCGGCCCTGTCCTCGAGGCTTGTTAACTTGATGCTCAGCTCTCTCGCTGAGCAGAGGCAGTTTGGCTTGGTCTGCCTTGTCTTAAACGATTGTTCGGGTCTTGATTGTCAGTTATCTTCCTGAAAAATTAATTATAAGTGTTAATATGATGGTTTAAAAAAATAACTTAGACAAGAATTCAGATGTGCACATCCGAAACTAGTTCAGGGGGATTTTGGATGTGCACTTCTGAAACCACCTGTGAACAACTATTTTCAAGAAGCAATTTCTTCTTGCTCTAAATCATCCAAATATCATTTTTTTGTCACCCAAACACCAAAATTTAACTATTCTAACAACAATATACACAATGCCATTGATTCCAACTAACCTAATAAATTATTATAACGTTGCATAATGAATCAAATGTAAATGGAAAAAACTTACATAAACTTGGAGCTTTAGGGATGAGTTGGAATGACTTGAAAATAGTTGAAATGAGGATATCAGCAGAAATGAATTAGTTCTTCAAGTTAGAAATGTGAAATTTTTGTGTTTGAATGGAAACGGGTGTTGTCCTGTTCGTTGTTTTGAAAACAATAGAATGACTTCGGATGTGCATCTCCAAAATCATAAGTTATGGGGTAAATTTAGAGATGCGCATCCAAAGTCATTTTTTTGACAAAATAAAATGACTTCCGATATGCACATGTGAACACACCTGTTTTTGTCAAATATATCGAGTTCGGATATGCATATCCGAAGTCTAGGAATATTTAAGAAATTTCGCCAAAAATCTAAAAAAAATGCACTAGGTGTGGAAAGAAATTCTCACCATGATTTAATAATTTTTGCATGCATTTATTGAGGTTTATCCACGAATTGTTATTATTTTAAATACGAGAGAGGATTGTATCGAATGACATAACCTCACGTGGAATCCCAACCGTTAAGTAGAAAAAAGAAAAAAAAATTTAATGGTAAAGATTAACAACGAATACAAATACTATTAAAAGTCACTGGAGGGAATTCTTACCCTTAAATACGTGTAATTAAAATTTATAATTTGTTTCTGAATTTTAACAAATAAAAGATCATACATTGAAATTGAATATTTTGTATTAGATATTGTTTTGTAATCAATTTCCTAACTAAGATTAAAACATGCTACTAAACTCGCTAATCCATTTTTTTTTTCATTACACTCTACACTACAAAAAAAACCTTATTAATAATTTAATTAAATCTTTAATAATGGACCAATCAAATTATTCTTTTTGTACGCTTGACATCAACTTTTCAAATCGAATACCTATTTCATCATAACACATTATTACCCAGATATTTCATTGAAACACATCATTAGCCGGATAATACTCCAAATAAAGAAAACCCTAGCTGTTTCCTCCAATAGCGCTCATCGAATTTCATTTTGGCGAAAACATTTTCGAAACTTCTCTTTCCCGTATAGACACAATCTATCTCCCATTTCTTCATCCCCATTTCACAAACCCTACTCTCGCTCCTCTTTCTCCATCTTCCCCATTTCCACTCTTCCGTTCAATCGAAGATGCAGACTCGAGGTTCAAGAAAGAGAGATAACGCTGAACCAATTGTGCTCAACCCTAAGAAACAAAGGGTTGTGTTGGGGGATCTTTCAAATCTAGAGAATGCAACTGTTTCTGAAAATCAATGGTGGATCCGACGGTGTTGGTTGAGAGATGATGGTGGTCTCTGGAAAACTGTGAAGACGAGGAAGGAAATCACGGCGACGGTGTCCTCTGGCGAGTGTGAAGATTCTTTTTCCTGGTTTCACATTTGAAGCTTTGAAGAAGAATTACCTTCTTCTCCAGTTGTCTGTAAGTGTATTCTTGCTCACTTTCTTCCTCATTTTTATGCTTTAACATGAGTTTTTGGTTTCCAAACTATACCCATTTTCAACTGATTCTTCTTCTTCCTTCTTTTCTCTAGATCTGTTTATGGGTTGTGTTTCGGTTTCAAGCGAAGTTTTCAGGGCCTAAACAATCTCAACAATGGAAAGAAGTGAATCAAGTGATGATTTATGAAATCTTCTTTTTGATATTGGAAAATAATCCTCAAGCACCTACTACCATAATTAGTAGGTTTTTATGGTTCACATTATTCCCTAAAGCTTGATAGATGTTTATTCACACACTATGTAATTTCATTTTCATTTTTTTTTTTACTTAGGCTTATTTATGATGTTTTCAGATTGCACAGGTTCCATGGGGAGAGGCCTACACTCTTCATTCTCTTAGTACCTGCAAAGAAGGAAAGAATTAATTGGTAAAATATTGGAGTTTTATTCATTTTATTCTCATTGTTACAATTGTTGTTTAAATACCGTATTTATTTACAACGTATTTACAATGATAATTTTTACAATGTTTAAAATGAAATAAAAACTATCCTATTTTTTTTTCCTAAGTTCTAAATCTTCATCTTCTATCCAATACTTATTTAATGCTCATTTTACCTGCAAAAGAATTAAAAGAAAAAGTCAGAAATAAAGAGATAATTAAAAGCAGACGATTAATTTAGCGTTCATCATTAAAAGCAAACGGCTGTAATCAGTTTTTACCCTTTTTGCAAATCACGGGATTTCTCCCGGTTCCCAAAAAGGGATGAATTTTTATTGATAAATATGAATGCACAAGTTAAAAATATGCACAAATTCATTTTTTGTCAAAACTGCATATTTCAAAATAAACTGCATATTTCAAAAACCAATATGCATAAATTCATTTTTTGTCAAAACTGCATATTTCAAATAAAATGCATAGTACAACAGCATATGCAAGTTGCAAGCCAAAGTCCAACGTAAACTATCCAACCTGTGGGAAGAGGCCAAAAATACAAAGGTTCCCATACTGTAATGTGCAGTTTAAAACCAAATATGCAAGCAAAATGTTTCTAATTCTCATCATTTTCCAGCTTTTATTTTTTCAGAACAAGTACATAACATCACATTTTAATGTCAAACTGTACTAAGGAGAAAGAAGAGAGAAAGAGTGTGGGTTTACAGATTTTGGCCTTAGGCAGAAAAGGGATGGAAAGCAAAACAGCAGTAACACAGTACAGAAAAGGAAAGCATGGAAAAAAGATACAAACAAATTGAATGAAGCAGTAGTGTGCAAAGGTATCAAAAGGCAGAATAGTAAAAATATACATAACCTGTAACATAAACCTCAAAGCCAAGTGAACCAACTGATATAAAAACAATACAGAACCCTTCAAGAAAAAGGGAGTTCAACCTATTTTCAAACCTTCAAAAAACTCAAAAACTGTAAAACAACGACAAAAGCCAATTCTCAAAATACCAAAGAAAAAGTCTTAAGAACCTGCTATCTCAAAACCAAAACCATGGCCTAAAAAAATCAGTTAAACACAAAACTGTCTAGCCTAACCAGAAAACCAGAAAAGCCTCAACCAATATGGCCTAAACCATAAAACCTTTAAACCTTGTCAAAGCCTAATAACCTGCACAAACTTGTTGCCTATCCAAGGCCATAACCTGCACAACCATCATATGCCCAACATAACCTGCACAAACTTATTGCCTAGCCAAAGCCATCACCAAAAACTTTAAACCATGTCAAACCTTCCACCTGCCTGAAGTTAAACCATAAAACCATGACCGATAACCAGTAAACACAACCTGTTAAACCATGCCAAACAACCGAACCACTTTCAACCACTCGTCGCGCATCCTCAAAAGAAGAAATAAATGTCCCTTGCTTCTTCACTTTATTATTAGCAACAGATAGAGCTTGGAATTGGGTTCCAACATCCTCATCAGCATCGATAAAAGAGAAAGATGACAAATGGCTTACCACCATAGCCTGCTCTCCACCAATCATTACCAGCTTTCCATGCCTCACAAACTTCAATCTTTGATGGAGTGTGGAAGTGACTGCCCCCGCATCATGGATCCATGGACGACCCAATAGACAACTGTAGGCGGCACGAATATCCATTACTTGAAAAGTGATCTGAAAAGTATGAGGACCAATTACTATAGGAAGATCCACTTCACCAATGACAGTCTTCCTAGAACCATCAAACGCTTTGACAATTACTCCACTAGGTCTCATGGGAGCACCTTGATATGAGAGTCGAGATAATGTAGTTTTGGGCATTACATTTAACGACGAATCTGTATCTACCAACACACTTGATAACGTATCATTTCCACAACTTATTGAGATATGCAAAGTCATATTATGGTTCCTTCCCTCCTCCGGAAGCTCTTCATCACTGAAACCAAGGTTGTTACACGAAGTAATATTTCCCACAATTCCATGAAATTGGTCAACCGTCACATCATGATCCACGAATGCCTGGTCCAAGACCTTCATCAAAGCTTCTCTATGGGCACCAGAATCTCTCAGTAAAGCAAGCAAAGAAATCTTGGAAGGAGTTTGCAATAGTTGATCCACAATCTTATATTCACTTCTCTTGATAAGCTTCAGAATCTCATCATCCTCAGGATGTGGGATAGGTTCATTGGATCGACCTATCTCAACCCTTGGTTCAACATTTCTCGCTGGAATTTCTGCCGGTATGGGTCTCCTGACTTGAACTTCTGGTCTCTTCAAAGGTACTGCTGCAAAGACACGTCCGTTTCTCGTAACTCTACTCACATCAGCGATGTTAACAAAAGATGACCTTGTTGGTATAAGGACTTCTACCCCATTCTCAATCATTGTGGCATTATACTTATATGGTATAGCTTGGTCTGAGTTGTAAGGCACGGGACCAGGTGGATAAATGATCAAAGGAGCAACAGGTGCAGTCTGACTGTCGTAAACGATCTCTACTGATTCAGGCAAATTGAATTGTGGTATTATAACATTCACTTCATCCTCCGGATCTCTGTCATATGTAATAGTGATAACCCTCTGGTCTAACAACTTTTGAATATCCTCCTTCACAATAGGGCAATTGACCTCTCTTGAACAAAATTCGCAAACATCATAATCATGTTGATGCCTAACAAAGGCAAGTCTTCTTAAGCTCTGATGTAACATGATCAACGACTCTCTTATGTGTTCAACTTGAAAAACTCGAAACTTTCCCGGACAACCTTCCACCATATTCACTGATGCTGCCCCATGTCGAGGCAAAGGATTATCTCTAACATTTGGGTTAACATCCTTGAAAGACAAGATACCATTCTTAATCAACCTCTGCACGTCCGCCTTTAGAGCAAAACAATTTTCAAGGTTGTGCCCCGGCGACCCCTGATGATATTCACAAAACTGATCCGCCTTGTACCACAGAGAAGTATTATTTGGTGCGACAAGAAGAAGTTTTGTCGTTATGAGGTTCTTTCTGATAAGAGCAGGGAACAATTCAGTATAAGTCATATGAATGGCATCGAATTGCGGTTTTCTTGGTGAACGGTTCTGGTTGTTGAATGGATAAGCATGTTGTCGAGGCTGCTGCTGAAATGGCCGTTGTTGAGTTGGTGGGGTTTGATGAGCTGGGGTCACCAAAGCTGGGCGGACAGCCGGAGTGACTGCCGCAACGTGTGAGTAACCTCTCCTTGGTCTCCCTGGGAAGATTGCGCTGACATCCTGTTCTTTTCTTTTCGGGAAAACACTTCCAAATTTCTTAGTACTGCTAGACGGACTTCCTTCTTTAACCAAACGCCCTTCACGAATCCCTTCCTCCAACCGCATGCCCATGCTTACCATTTCGGTGAAGTCACTGGGTGCGCTGGCAATCATTCTTTCATAGTAAAAGGAACCTAAAGTCTTCAAGAATATCTTCGTCATCTCTTTCTCCTCAAGAGGAGGATAGATTTGAGCAGCAATTTCACGCCACCTCTGGGCGTATTCCTTAAAAGGATGTCTACATATTCTGATGATCATGACTTGTTGATTCACTATTTTCAAGACAGTTTGACTGGTGCCGCCCTAAAGTGGTATATGGGTTTAGACAGCATTCAGATCCGCAACTTCAACGATCTTAGCGAAGCCTTTGTTCACCAGTATAAGTACAACGTTGACATGGCGCCGGACAGGGATCACCTCTGGGCGTATTCCTTAAAAGACTCTCTGTCTCTCTGGGACATCGCCCGGAGTTGATCCCTGTCCGGCGCCATGTCAACGTTGTACTTATACTGGTGAACAAAGGCTTCGCTAAGATCGTTGAAGTTGCGGATCTGAATGTTGTCTAAACCCATATACCACTTTAGGGCGGCACCAGTCAAACTGTCTTGAAAATAGTGAATCAACAAGTCATGATCATCAGAATATGTAGACATCTTTCTCACGTACATAGTCAAGTGACTCTGAGGACACGAATCACCCTTATATCTTTCAAAGTCTGGCACTTTGAATTTTGCTGGAATCTTGACATTCGGAACTAAACAAAGGTCATGAGTGTTCTTTCCAAACAAATCATTCCCCTTTAACGCTCTGAGCTCCCTCTGCATTTCTTGGAATTGGTCTTGAAATTCTTCCATTCTATCAAAAAGACCCAAACTTTCAGCAGGCTCGGCAGGATAAGTAGGTTCATTCAAGTATGGCACGGAGTGAACCACAGGAGCGACAGTTGTCATCAACGGTTGCGGGAAAGGTGTCACAGACGGGATTACCGGCGGCATGGCAATTGTCTCTGGTTGAGGAAGAGACAAAGTAGGTTGAAACAAAGGCTGTACGACAGGCTGATACCCCTCTGGCACAAAGTTGTAAGGCATTCCCCACGGAAAACCTTTTGGCATCTGATGTTGAAGCGGAGAGTTGATTTGAGTCACAGATGTTGGAACGGTGACAATCTCGGAAACCACAGTAGTTGAAGTCTGAATCTCAGCAGCCGTAGTCGATGGCTGATTCTGAGCAGCCATCAAACTTTCCACTAGCGCAGTTAACTTTTCCATACCGACACGAAGGGTAGCGACCTCCTCATGAAGCTCGTGGTTTTCCTGTTCCAGATCTTCCATCTTCCTCTGACGATTGGCTCGAGTATCGTATCGATGAGACAACTTGACAATCTATCAGAGTGGAAAAAGAAACAAGGATAAGACTCTAGAAAACATGTGAAGTGGAATGTTGGATGATGCATGATATGTGATGCAAATGATAATTCATTTTGATAGTTTTTCAAGGAACTTCGATAATTTTGCACACATCAATGGTAAAGGAATTTGGAACAACAAAAACTCATTTCATTAATCAAAAAGCGGTAAATTACAACTTACAACTTTGGAACAACAAAATAAATTACATCTTTGGGATAACAACCCAATAATAAAGCAGTAAACTACAACTTTGGAACATGAAGCCCATAATAAAAGTAGTAAATTACAACTTCGGAACATGAAGCCCTTAATAAAAGTAGTAAATTACAACTTCGGAACATGAAGCCCTTTTACAGAGTTTTACAAAATGACATCAGTAAAATAAAACTAAGAACTAAAGATCACTCAGAACCATCAGATGAAGGACCAAATGCCAACTGTAACCGGAGCTTCCTGATCTTCTCTTCATAAAAGTCTTCCATCTCTTTCTTCTCAGCTACCAGTCGATCAATGATTTCCTTTTGTGGATTATGAACAAGAGCAACGCTTACCGAACCTTCCTTCTTTCTCTTCCTTTCACTAGCATACTTCTTCAGTAAAGCATCCTTTTGACGAAGTTTCTCATCATGATCAATGAACCAGCCGTCTTGAATAAATAGCAAATCCTCCTTTTCATCTCTCTCGGACTTCATCCTAGCCAGATTTCCTTGGTATTCTCCCATATTCTCGATAGGAATATCAACAGATGACGATGCAACGGTAGGGAATAAAGGTTTCTCAGGTTTATAGGGCATCTTGAGAGCACAAGCCCTAGCACGAACCCATTGTAGGTAAGGCTCCAAAGAAACGGCACCCCTATGTCCTAACATATCTCTCCCTTTCTTATGGATGTGGCGCCAAACTCCTTCGATCTCCCTCTTAGCTGCCTGGTGATCTTGTCCTTCTTGTAGAAAGAAACCACTCACATGGATGTTGTTTGGCTTGTCCCTCATCGGATACCCAAACTGACGGCGCGCGAGAACAAGGTTATAGTTAATTCCACCTTTCGTACCAAGAAGAGGCACGTTAGGGAAAGCACCACAGCTATCGATGATCTTCACGTCATAGTAAACTCGATTATACCAATCAATATCGAAATGAGTGAGAGCCATAATTTTTGGCGCCCATCGTCCTTCTCGAGATCCCAGAAAACATCAGACCTAGGTAGATGAGAAACATACCACTGATACAACAACGGTGCACAACAAATGATCATTCCTCCTTGATGAGAGTTTCGAAGATGGATGGAGTAGTAGGTATCTCCTAGCAGCGTAGGGACCGAATTTCCAATCAAGAAAATTCTGATGGCGTTGATATCCACAAACTTATCAACGTTAGGGAACAAGAATATACCATAAGCGAGTAAAGCAAAGACGTCTTCAAAGGCAATAGTATCTTTTATCTCAGCGAAATGACAAGTTTTCCTCAACAGAAACTGCGCAGACAAACCTCGGATTCCCCCTTTTGTAGTCATGTTCTCCTCCATCTCTGACTTCTTCAAGTGGGTGATGGTCGCTATCTCGTGAGATTTAGGTTCCTCTTCTAATCCGGAAAAAGGAACACAGTCGGTGATCGGCAAACCAATTATGTAGGAGTACTCTTCTAAGGTGGGCATTAACTGGTAATCTGAAAAGGTAAAACATCGGTACAAAGTATCGTAGAATTGAACCAACGTATTAAGAATGTCTTCCTTCATCTTGCGCTTCATGAGAGGTATAATGGACCCATACTTTTTCTGAAAATCCGTCGGTTCTTGATTTTAGGAATTAAACTCTTCAGCTCTTCGATCTCGGGCTCCTTAAAACTAAAACTTCGAGTGTTTCTCCTTCCAAATTCCATAATAATAGTACCTGAGATGTCTGCAAAAATCATTCCTAAGTCCCTTGAAAACGAAGGAGAAACACTCGAAGTTTTAGTTTTAAGGAGCCCGAGATCGAAGAGCTGAAGAGTTTAATTCCTAAAATCAAGAACCCGACGGATTTTCAGAAAAAGTATGGGTCCATTATGCCTCTCATGAAGCGCAAGATGAAGGAAGGCATCTTTAATACGTTGGTCCAATTCTACGATCCTTTGTACCGATGTTTTACCTTTCCAGATTACCAGTTAATGCCCACCTTAGAAGAGTACTCCTACATACTTGGTTTGCCGATCACCGACTGTGTTCCTTTTTCCGAATTAGAAGAGGAACCCAACCCAAATCTCATGAGATAGCGACCATCACCCACTTGAAGAAGTCAGAGATAGAAGAGAACATGACTACAAAAGGGGGAATCCGAGGCTTGTCTGCGCAGTTTCTGTTGAGGAAAACTTGTCATTTCGCTGAGATAAAAGATACTATTGACTTTGAAGACGTCTTTGCTTTACTCGCTTATGGTCTATTCTTGTTCCCTAACGTTGATAAGTTTGTGGATATCAACGCCATCAGAATTTTCTTGATTGGAAATTCGGTCCCTACACTGCTGCTAGGAGATACCTACTACTCCATCCATCTTCGAAACTCTCATCAAGGAGGAATGATCATTTGTTGTATCAGTGGTATGTTTCTCATCTACCTAGGTCTGATGTTTTCTGGGATCTCGAGAAGGAGCCGCGATGGGCGCCAAAAATTATGGCTCTCACTCATTTCGACATTGATTGGTATAATCGAGTTTACTATGACGTGAAGATCATCGATAGCTGTGGTGCTTTCCCTAACGTGCCTCTTCTTGGTACGAAAGGTGGAATTAACTATAACCCTGTTCTCGCGCGCCGTCAGTTTGGGTACCCGATAAGGGACAAGCCAAACAACATCCATGTGAGTGGTTTCTTTTTACAAGATCACCAAGCAGCTAAGAGGGAGATCGAAGGAGCTTGACGCCACATCCATAGGAAAGGGAGAGATATGTTAGAACATAGGGGTGCCGTTTCTTTGGAGCCTTACCTACAATGGGTCCGTGCTAGGGCTTGTGCTCTCAAGATGCCTGAGAAACCTTTATTCCCTACCGTTGCATCGTCATCTGTTGATATCCCTATCGAGAATACCAAGGAAATCTAGCTAGGTTGCATCGTCATCTGTTGATATCCCTATCGAGAATACCAAGGAAATCTGGCTAGGATGAAGTCCGAGAAAGATGCTTGGAAAGAAAAGTATAATATGAGAATCGGGTCCTGGCTCGACAACTAAAGGAAAAGGAGAATTTGCTATTTATTCAAGACGGCTGGTTCATTGATCATGATGAGAAACTTCGTCAAAAGGATGCTTTACTGAAGAAGTATGCTAGTGAAAGGAAGAGAAAGAATGAAGGTTCGGTAAGCGTTGCTCTTGTTCCTAATCCACAAAAGGAAATCATTGATCGACTGGTAGCTGAGAAGAAAGAGATGGAAGACTTTTTTTATGAAGAGAAGATCAGGAAGCTCCGGTTACAGTTGGCATTTGGTCCTTCATCTGATGGTTCTGAGTGATCTTAACACAACCTGTTAAACCATGCCAAACCTGAAACGAGTTTCACCAACACAAAAACCTGTCAAGCCTCAAGGCCATAAACCTTTAACTTGCCAAATTCAAAAAGCAGAAACATCCACCATCTTAAACATACTCAACAATCCAAGAGGCAACAGAAGTGAGGAAAAAGCATACAAACGAAGGCAGCAGTCAAGCATCAACATTGTCAAGCTAGTCAAAACAAATATTTCAACAATAGCATGTTCAAGGCAACGCAAAAGCCTCACAAATATTCATCATAGGCCAGTAAAAAGAAGCAACTGAAGCACAGCAAAGAAGAAGATAGGAAAAGTATTCGAAGGCAACAGCCAAGCATACAACGAGGTAATAGGAGATAAAGGGACAAAGAAACGAAATACCAGGACTCCAAGCCACCGCGCTTCACTCCTCCGTCAGCAAGCCTCCGGAACGCCTCTTCCTCCAATCACGCGAACGTTTTCATTTCATTAAAACTTAAGACAATTTTTTCCCCAAATATTCAATCTTTTCAAAACTTATACCTTTTAAGCCAAAACTTCGACATTAGGTCGTCGTATCTTCAAAAAACCGTCCGTACCCCTTTTCGGCCAAAACAATTTATTTTTAAATCAAACGAACAATTTTAATAAACAGATATTTCAAAAAGTTCCTATAGAGTACTATAATACATTGGATGCTAATACCTTCCCATTGTATAACCAATCCCGAACCATAGACCTCTTTTCAAAAACGCCTTGTATTTTCATTACTTTTAAAAGTATTATTTTACATTGCATATTTTAGGGTTTTATTTCGCTCTTTCCCCTTTTCCCTTGGAAATAATAAAGCGCGGTGGCGACTCTTGCTTTTGTGAGACGAATTAATCAATAATTCGATCTCCGATTTACCCCGCTACATTTTTTATCGCTACAGGTTGTCTTCAAGGACATTTAGTTTCTCGAAAAAAATCATTGAATTGGTATAAAGTAAGTATCATAATTCTTCTATACCCTGCAGAAGCAACTATATTGAGTGTGTTCTTTTCAGTATATATATTTCCAAGAAAATGTATTGATTCCCCTATCTTTATTTCAGGAAGCCTGCAATATTGAAGATTTTCTAGAAAATTTTAAAAATGACCCCACTGTCAAAATTCCTCTGGTTTACAAACAACTTTCTGAGCTACTTGTATTAGTGATGGAATGGATTGACGGTATTCGATGCACCAATCCACATGTTTGTTAATTTGGACTGTATTGTATCTGTTGTAAGTAAAAATAATTTGTTATATGTCATAGACTAATAATTTCTCATCTTGTGACTCAGGCAATTAAAGAAGGTGGTATTGATCTAGATGGAATTCTTACAATTCGTAGTGATGCCCTAAGACAACGGTTGGAATTTGAATCATTTCATAGAGACCCTCACCCTTGAAATATTTTTGCCATGCGCGATGGACGGATTGCATATGTGGACTTTGGCAATGTTGTTGTTCTTAGTGAGGTAATTCTTCATATACTAAGCATGGAGGGAATAATTGTGTTTCTCCTTCTCCGGCTATCAGTAATTATGTTTCTCCTTCTCTGACTATCAGTAATTGTGTTTCTTTGCATATCTAGATGCAATCACTTGACACTACTTATTGTTGTTGATGGTTTTCGTGTTTTTTTTTTTATTTTTTATTTTATGTATCAAAAAGCAGTAAAGTTTCTATGCACATCTAGATGCAATCACTTGACACATGTTATTGTTGCTTTGTTTTGATTACAGGAAAGGGTCTAAGTATGAGGCTTTCATGATATGTTCTGGTTGTTAAGGAAGTGGTATGAAGATTTCTATGAGGCATCTGCTATGTAGACTTTTCACATCTGGTTTAATGCATATTCAATACTAATCAAGAACAACGTTTTCGCCGCATAATTGAAAGTTGTGGGAAGATACTAGGAACTGAGGCTACCCTTGAGTTGTTTGATAAAGTTGAACGAAAACCAGGCGTGACAGGATACAATGCATTTGTAAAAATATGCATAGGTAAAGCTAGGGAGTCTAAGAATGAAGACATTGCAATTGAAGAGATGGGGAAGGTTTTTCACCTTTTTGAATTAATGAGGGAACAAGGTTAATGAGGGAACAAACATATCGCCCACTTCTTATGTATACAATTGACATGAGTATGGTTGAAGAGTTTCAGTTTTTCTGTCAAGTTATCAAAGATGAGAGTCCCAGTTCAACTGCAAGACTGGGTTACTATGAAATGATGATGTGGTTAAACTTTAATGATGAAGAAAATATTCAGGGTGTTTGTGATTATATTGCTAAGAATGATGGCGAGGACACTTTTGATTTACGAGGTACGTTGATCTTTTATTTATTTATTTTCACTTGTATTTCTTTGTAATAAACTGTTTCTACGAAGCTGTGCTCAAAATTTTATCTTTGAATTTCAACCGTGCGTAACATATGTTAAGAAATTCATCTGTGTTTTTCACATTACGCTTACATAATTGATGTCTTTCAATTTTTTTAATGTTTGAATTGAACTGTTTGATCTGTGTTTTGTGAGGCCAATTGCATCAGAGTATTCTAATATGATGTTTATATATTATGTATATGAATCCCATGTCTGTGCTCAATCAAAAACATGTTGAGACAACATAAATTAAGCTAAATTGTATTCAAGTACACTTCTGTTATGCATATCATTACTAAAAGTGTTCACTCCAAACATACATCTTTCAAAATCAATGCATCAACTATTTGGTGAAGAAACATAACTATTAGCTTGTAGCTGCTTTTTCTGCACATTGATGTCCAACAATAACATGTATTTTGTTTCATGTAGTAACTTAGCTATTTACCTGTTTCAACTTATGTTGCAGAAAGTTATTTATTGGCTCTTTGTGAGAGTGAAAGGAAGGAGAATATTTTAGAGGTGTTGGAAATCATGGACATAAAAAAGCTTTCATCTGTTGACTCTGTAGCAAAGATATTTCAGGCATTGGGAAGACTATCATTGGAACCTGTTGCGGAGAAACTCCTTTTTGATTACAAAATAAGCAGTATGATCATGATTTTTATCTCATCGTCTCATTTGGTTTAGAAAGAATAATACATTTTTCTAACGACATATGAGCTTCTGATTCTCTTGAAATTTGTACTCTTAGGTTTAATATGCATTAACTGACAGATTACGACTGTAAATATTGTTTTTTGGTAATTGTAAATTACTGAGGTTTTCTTACTCTTGTAATTTACTGAGTTTCTTTTAACAAGTGAACAGTTTATTTTTTGGTTTTCTGTTGGCCTATCTTCATAACATGACGTTTGAAATTTTTTGGTAATTTTTTATCAAAGTTACTCATGTTGAATATTTATACATCTGTCATGTAAATTCTTATGCAGGAATTCCGTTGCAGTTTGTTCAAAGTTTCTGTTGGATTCATGTAAAACTTGGTAGAAACAAACACCCCAATTCATATAAGATATCAATTCATTAGGATATTATTATGGAAACTCTTGCAAATTTTCATTCCCTCAAGACAAGATGTCACATTAAGCTAATAGCCTAATATTGTAGTAATAGTAATTACTGAAGGGCAGAACAAAAGATCTTTTTCAATAGATGATAGTGTCTTGATATTATGTAGCGTATGACAACATATATTCTAGACAAAACTAGATTGATGCTAGACTATTCTGAATTTACTATGTATCATATGAATAACAATTTTAATCCATCTAAATTAGTATGTGATCTTATCGGATCAGAATTGGACCGTTACAGCTGGTTCGAATTGGATTTGAATGAGATGGGGGTATATGTAAGACACTCCGATGATAAAATGAGAGACAGAATGGGCAGGTAAATAGTATGTAGATGCGTAATGAATGAATACCTGATCCTTTTGAAGTAGAGAATATTTATAGCCCTCAGCGCTGGGCCAAGGTCCCTTTATTGGGTCGACCAGAACTGGCCCAACAAAGGGACTGCCAGTTCTACGTGTGTAGTGGGGACCCGCACGTGGTCCCCTTCCTGGATGGTGCTCTGCGAAGAATGAGGAAGAATGAAGACGCGGTCTTCCCGAAGCTTTAAGGATCCCATAGCATTCGGAGGGGACAGAGTCTGCCCTACGGGGAGGATGCTCGAGCAAGACTCGAGTTGGAGTGCCCTTGGTCGGGGACGTTGCTCGTTGCGGGTAGCGGCGGGCATAACCGTTGTGGTCTGTGATTGGGTATGCTCGGGGTGGTCTGATTTTGAGCACGGCTCGAGGAACTGCCTGGATCTGGGCCTTTACTCGTGTTTTGGGCCAAGGCAGGCCCAGTCCAGAACAGGAGCCCTCCAAGTCGTTGTTCCTGGCACATGAGTTATGACTTGATCTCAGTTTGTTCTCTCGCGGGGACCTCGTCCTCGACTCAAGGCTTTTCCCTTTCAATATGTAATCGAGGATCACTCGCGGGGATGCGTCAGCTGCGTCCGTCGGACACGTGGCATAGTCTTTGGAAATCGCAGTGCCGCCCTAGTAAATAGGGCCATTATTGTCTAGATGAGTAGGTGTCGAGGACGGGGGCGGTTCGTGGTTCCCCGGTGCGACGTTTCACATTCCACGTCATCTCTATAAATAGGATCCATGGGCCCATAGTCTGTTTCACCTCTTCACGCTCCTCCTACCTTCTCTGTTTTTATATTTGTTGGTTGTCGTAACGCTGTTGAGACCGACGCGCCATTTGCCGTCTGATTACTCCCACCGCCGTTGTTTCTACGCATCTTCTTCCAAGTAAGTATCCTTTCTTCCTACTTCCCTGTGTTGTAGATAGCTTTAATGACATTTTGATAATAGAAACCTGTATCTGGAAGTTATGCCTGGTAGATTTAAGCGCGCTAGGCGCCTGACTCATGGTCATACTCGAGACGTTCATAGGTTTTAGGCATATGATTCATGATCTTGCCCGCGATACTCGTGCGTTTGGTCGGCAGAGTCATGAATTTGGCCGGGATATTCATCCTTTAGGTAGTATGTAGGGTAGTCTCCTCGCAGTGTTCTAGCATCGGGTAAGCGAAGTTATGAACTTGGTCGCGCGATTCAAGATTCGCCCGGGGCGCTCATGTTACGCTCGTGCCATTCATGATTGATGCGTGGTTAGCACTGGGGTGTCGGTGTTTGGTTGAGATCCACCTGTTTCTTGTTTCCTTCGCGAATGGCTGTAGTTTCAATTTGAGCGTTGCGTACTTCTCCCCGCCTTTGTGGCGAGCACGCGGATTTGCTGTCGAATTCACCGGTTTCCTGTACTTTGCAGGTAAATGGACGATAACCCGGAGTCCTCGGGACGTAATGACGTCGAGGAAGCAAGTACAACAGAAGAGAATGTTACCCTGGTCGACACTGTCGATGACCACACACTGGATTGGGTGGGCGCTGAGCCCCGGGGAATTGCTTCGGCGTACAGCCATCACAGCAGACGAGCTTATACCGTCGTCGAGTACGGCGGTACTCAGGAAGAATTTCAACAGAATTTTAAAATAATGAGGGCGACGAGTGATGCTCGCATCTGCTCGGAGTTCACTGAATATGCGTTCCCTATGTATGAGATTGTATTCAGGGATCTTGGTCTTAGGTTGCCTTTTAACGACTTCCAGGTCGGGGTGTTCAATCATCTGAACCTGGCCCCCTCGCAGCTACACCCCAACGCGATTGCTTTTCTCCGGGCGTTCGAGCTAACCTGCCATTTCCTGAGAATTGGGGCGACGATTCCCCTGTTCTTCAGGGTTTTTCATCTGCAACGCCAGTCTCGAGGAGGAAAACATAGCTGGGTATCCCTTAAGCAGTCAAATAGACTGTTTAGGATGTATATGGACTCGGTGAGGGATTTTAAAGACAAATGGTACATACTGCAGACGGCCACCCAGACGGCCCTGGAGTCTCTATTTGAGTCGGCCACTGTGGTCGACAAGGACGGGGAGCCCATTTTGGATGCTGAGGGTAGTCCCACAGTCGGGCGGATTTCCAGGTTCCCTATTCATTGGTGCTCGGGTCATTATGACCATGGTCCCGGGTACTATCATACCCCTGCGGGGAGTATGAGTGTCGAGGATGAGGAGGCCTATGTTGTCCTTTGTAAGTTTGTTGATGGCTTTTTCCCCGCTCGGTGGGTCACGAGGGAAGGGGACGACATTCTCGATGAGGATGGCTACCCGACGTTCGAGGCGCACCCTATCAATACCAAGGCGCTCGTTGAATGCCAATCCTACGGGCATGTCGTAGATCTCCTAGGTTTCTTGCTTTTGCTCTTATTGTTATTCCATTTTAATTGCCTTTAATCGCTTGTAGCTAACCCGGCTTCGCTCTTCTTGCAGGTCACATGGCGGAACGTCGAGAGAGGTTGCTGAAGTTGACCCAGGATAAAAAGATAAGTAAGAGACTGGTGAGACCACAGCAGGCCGCGCGGATAGGCCCGCCCGCTGATTCGGGCAGAGACGCGTCCAGTGGGTCCTCGGGTTCTCCCGACGCCGAGCAACAGACCGAGCTGGTGTTTACAGTGATTTCTGGTAAACAACCGCTAGTCCTCCAAACTATCGAATAATCTTAATGACTGTTATTCAATCTCTCTGGTAACTCGCTGTTTACAGTGATTTCTGGTAAACAACCGCTAGTCCTCCAAACTATCGAATAATCTTAATGACTGTTATTCAATCTCTCTGGTAACTCGCAGGATCGACTAGATTGATCCTAGGATGTATTGGTCATTTGGATAACTCTCATTATAGAACTGGTATTCATGGTTGGTATTTAGAATGTTGTGTAGGTGTTTAACTTACTTCGATTACTCTATTAAAGATCTAATAACTTGATCAAGTAAATGCGCGCGAAACTAAATTGCATAAATAAAGTTCAATTGTAAAGACATATAAAACTGCAGAAAAGACAAGTAAATGACTTCGAAGCATAAAAACATGTAACGTAAAAGATTCTCTGGAATGTAAAAGATTCGAAATATGAAGAAAGCGTTTAAATGCAAGAAAACAGTAAAATGACTTTAAGTGAAAAAAGGTGTTCGAATGATAAAAGCTTGAAGATAAAGGCATGAAATGTGCAAAAGTTTCTGAAATGTAAAGTATTTGAAATGGAAAGAAAACATTTAAATGTAAGGCATCAGTAAAAGGACTTCGAATGAAAATATTTTAATGCAAAGGCTTTTGAATGGTATTGACATGAAGATAGAGGAAAATATTGGAAATGATAAAGAGTTTTATTAAATCATAAACACTTGGTGTTATCATACGTACATTGCTCGTGCATTCGTTTCCCTAGCCATGTGGTATTTTGAATGTTTACTGAGTTTTTTGTACAATAGATATGACACACGAAATCCTAATGCTAAGACTTCTATTTATACTACTTCGACCATAACGGTCTTGCTATAAGATTCTGCCACGTTCAGAACATTCAGAGCAATGCCTTTCTCTAGCTTCCACGCGTCTTCGAATGCTCCAGCGCATATATTTTAAATTTCGAACATCCCGCTTGCATTTGAATTTCAAATGTTTTGGCACTTCTTCGCTTCGAACGCATTTCTTGGACACAACCTTGTTATCACTTCGAGACTTCTTTTGAAGATATCCTCATAACTGCCACTCGAAGCTCTAAGCTTTGATATGCCCATTCGAAGCACTGCTTCTACCATTTCGAAACATGACATCTTGCTTTATTCCAATCGAAACATCAAATTTGCTTTGCTTCGAACAATATCATCAAAATCTTCAGCCAACACTCGCAGGATCGACTAGATTGATCCTAGGATGTATTGGTCATTTGGATAACTCTCATTATAGAACTGGTATTCATGGTTGGTATTTAGAATGTTGTGTAGGTGTTTAACTTACTTCGATTACTCTATTAAAGATCTAATAACTTGATCAAGTAAATGCGCGCGAAACTAAATTGCATGAATAAAGTTCAATTGTAAAGACATATAAAACTGCAGAAAAGACAAGTAAATGACTTCGAAGCATAAAAACATGTAACGTAAAAGATTCTCTGGAATGTAAAAGATTCGAAATATGAAGAAAGCGTTTAAATGCAAGAAAACAGTAAAATGACTTTAAGTGAAAAAAGGTGTTCGAATGATAAAAGCTTGAAGATAAAGGCATGAAATGTGCAAAAGTTTCTGAAATGTAAAGTATTTGAAATGGAAAGAAAACATTTAAATGTAAGGCATCAGTAAAAGGACTTCGAATGAAAATATTTTAATGCAAAGGCTTTTGAATGGTATTGACATGAAGATAGAGGAAAATACTGGAAATGATAAAGAGTTTTATTAAATCATAAACACTTGGTGTTATCATACGTACATTGCTCGTGCATTCGTTTCCCTAGCCATGTGGTATTTTGAATGTTTACTGAGTTTTTTGTACAATAGATATGACACACGAAATCCTAATGCTAAGACTTCTATTTATACTACTTCGACCATAACGGTCTTGCTATAAGATTCTTCCACG